CTTGTGTGCACCTTGCTTAATCCTAAAAGCCAGCACTCCATACTGGCCACTTATCTGTAAAAACAAAGCTGCCCAGTCCATACAATTAGCAAAAAGTATGTGCACAACCAGAAGATTAGCAACAGCTTAAGTAATTAAGTCAACTTTTCTCTTTGCTGTTGCACAAACTATTTGATGCGGACTTTGCAAGGACTTTTAGATTATTTATTTTTAGAGTCAGAAGTGCAGGGCAAGACAAGTTCTATTACTGCTTTACTGTACACTGAACAGTTCAAGATGAGCTGAATTCCAGCTGCAGCATAAGCCTGCCCATCACCAAACAAGACAGAACTCTCTAGCGTGGGGCTAAAAACTTATTCCTGCCAAAAATCAACTGCTCTATTATAATGAGCTGTCACTAGGCAATGTTGTGAACATAATGTCCCCAAGGAAGGATCTAACAGCAGATGCCAGCACAGTTATGGATTATGACCCAGGGCTGTATGACTGTTTTGTACTATGTCAAGCAAAGAGTAAAACCATTTCAGAACAAGATGTGCACACGATTTCTAGTCACTAGCATGAGGATGATTCAGCATCAGCAACAACCACAATTGTTTTGCCCAGGGAATACCACATATCATCAGATAACTGAGCAGTAACTATTCCAACATCCTATGGTAAACACCAACTTTCTATTAAGTCTTGTCTGTAAAAAATCACCTGAAAGCAGGAAGTTCCATAGTACTATATCCTTGGCATAACTGATCAAAGTGTAACACCAGGGCAAGGGAGATGTAACTACTAGTTGCAAAGAAGGATATGCATGCACTGAAATAAGACACTCAGGAAGTTGTGCAGGGACACGATGAAGGTATCTGCCCACTGGCGTGAGAAATAGGTAGCAAAGGTGGGGTTGGAGTCTGGAGCAGGGAGGAAGGGCAGGACAAACCAATCCTTCCACTCTGCCTGGTTCTGGAGTTCAGAGGCCTGCTTGAGGAAAAACTCCTGCGCCTTGTCATTGCGGCCATTCTGAAACACAGCAAGAAGAACAGGGCTCACACTTTCATTCATGCCACCAGATTAGGTTGAGGAACATTTGCTTTTTGTTATGAACACAACTATTTTCACCACCCTGACACAACAAATGGTTAGATACATATTCACCAGGAAACAAAAGACTCCCAAATATGGTAGGAGAAGATCACAAATGTACTTAATCCAAAAGACTTCTTTCTAGTCACCACAATCCTGTTTAAAGGCTGAGACCAATCGAGCCAAACACACTGATTTCAGTTAAACCAGTGCAGAGTGCACTGACATGAGCATTCATATACAGGACCAAAGTATAATTCAAATTGCTACAGCACATGCAGCTTGAAAGGGTTTCCAACTGACACATTATGCAGACAGGACTGTCACATATCAGGGTAAGCACATGGCAAAACAAATCATGAAAAAGCACACTTCTAGTAAGATGTATTAGATTTTGACTCCTCCACTAACACCTCGATCTCCAGTCAGGGAATGGAACCAAGAAGAATCAAGGGGAGAATATACATTGACTTTCCAGTGTTTGAACAGAAAAATCTCTGTTTCATTTTAAGCTCATTATTTTCTGTTCTATTCACAGCATGCAAAAAGACATCCATTTTCTCTTCCACATTTCCTTGTTCCAGTTTGAACCTTGTGTTCTCTGCCAGTACCCAAGTTAACTGAGCAGGACTGAGCTACCAGTACTGTTACCCCTTCAGAGGGAAACCTGTCTTTATGTGAGTGTGAATATCTTGCACATAGCAAACCACATTTCCCTATTGCCTGAGTTTCCTTATCCTGCACACAAGCTTGTCATGTGAGTCTGCATCAAACTCCTGATCATGACACATGAACTGCAAGCCTGGCAGAGTCTCACAGAGGCAGTTTATTGCTTTGGTTTCAGAGACCAGGACCTTTCTAAAGTAGCCTAAAAATGAAACCCTACCTGGATGGCATGGACCAGGTAGTATCTGAACAGGCTGGTTTTCAGCTTGTTCACCGTTGGCCGGTACACGTCCTCCAGGCGGCTGAAGAGGCGTCGGTCCAGATAACTCCAGTAATCCCGCAGGGCAGCCAGGTCGTAGCTCTGCACAAACTGCTGCAGCTGCTCCACTATCTTATCCACCTAGAGAGGGCAAAACAGGAGCACTTCACTCATGGGAGGGCTCCTGAGGCACAAGACTTTTTGTAACTTAGTGCTGAGAAGCTTTAACTGTACAATCCTTATGCATTAGCCATTTTCTAATCCTGGAAACACTCTGCATTTTGCATTAGCATTCTTCCACTCTGCAGCACTTTGCAAATGAAGGAAAAAGAAATATGACAGAGCACAGCCAAACAACTTTTGACATGTTCAACATATTCAGAAGTATCACATTTTGTTGAACCCAACTGATGGATATTTTTGCAAGCAAGCAAAACTTTCCACCTCCCTCCTTTAAAAGCCTGTGGAAAACAATAATAAAAAATAATGTGATTAAACATTTAAAATTCAAGTGCAGCACCTGAAAAAAAAGTATTACTTTTAGACTAAAAGGAATAATACCTGCATTTAGCCAACAGAAAGAGGAAGTCAGTTCTGCTCCATTGCAATTTTTGAAGTACCTTTATCTTTAGTAACATCATCTACTAACAAGGCAAGCATAAAATTTTGCAGAAGAATATTTTTTTTGTCATTATGTCTCTTTGGAAATAATTTCTGCAATATGAATAAGGCAGAATGGTAGTGTGGGAATAGATTTTTTGTTCAGTGGTTTCTGATGGCCAAGACAGGCATCAGAAAAAGAAAAAACTGCATCCTGTATAAAATTAAACTAAGGTTGTTTAATATGTGGCTTGCTCTCCCCCTCATCACTTAGTATCTTAGGACATACCCAACTTTTATCTCTGTGGCTTCTGGCAGATATAGAAAACTGAAGTTTATGACTCCAGCAAACCCTTCTTGGGCAACAATTCAGATTATGTCACCAGCAAAGTGCGGGTGTTTTAAAAAATAAAAGCGACGTGCTTTATTAATGATAAAAGTAGTGCTTATATTGCTGTTCAAAGAAAAATCTGACTGTTCAAAGCACTACATTCGAAACCCAAAACTGTTGCTACAGGATTGAGACTGGCAAATTCTGTGACAGGTTAGTCAAGGCAGTTGGTACTCAAGACATACAAACGAACGAGCAGAGCTGCAAAGCCGCTGGATGAAAATCCCATGACCGAGAAAAGACGCAGGCAAAGGAATGCCTTCCTGCCCTCTCGTTCCGCGGCTCTCCTCCGTTCGTCGCTTGTGGAAGCCGAGGAAGCGCGGGCGGGTCACAGGTCCCCAGCCGGCTGGGCTGCCCAGCGGGGCGGGGCGGCTGCCGGGAGCTGCAGCCCCCGGCTCAAGGCAGGCGAGGGGACGGAGCCGCCGTGCTGCGCTGACGGGCCCTGGAGCCGGGCGGGAGGGGAGCGTTCAGCCTCGCCAGGACCCTGCGCGTCCCTGAGGCGCGGCAGGGCGGCCGGGCGGCTCCGGGATGCGGGGTCCCGCCTGCGGGCCGGCCGGGCCCTGGCGCCCAGCGCAGCGCAGCGGGGAAGCGCGGAGGCTCCGAGGGCTCCCTCCGCCGCCAGGCCCGCTCCCTCGCCCAGCCCCCGGAGCGCCAAGAGGCGCCCGCGGCCCGCCCGGGGAGCGCGTCCTCCCAGGGGCGCACCCGCGCCCAGCGCCTCGCCGGCAGCGGGGATGCGCTCGCCACTCACCCGGAAACCCTTCTCCCGGTCCGCCTTGATTTCGGCGTCCAGCTGCTTCAGGGCGGCGGTGAAGCCGCGGAAGAGCAGATACTCCCGCACCAGCTCGTCCGTGCGTTCCGCTGCCGCCGCCATGGGGGCCCCGCGGCGCCACCGGCACCGCCCGCCCACGGCCGGGGCGGGGCGCGGAGGGGATGACCCGGCCCAGACCAGCCCCAAGCGGGACTACAACTCCCGGCGTGCCTTGCGCACCTTTTCCCTGCCCCACTCTCCACCCCGCTGGCGCGTCCAGCCCGCGTTTTTCCCGTCTTCTGATTGGTCGCCGCCGGGCGGCGGCTGCGCGCCGATTGGCCGCCCGCCACGTGCGGCTGGTGTTGCTCGGCGCGGGCGGCGGAGGCGCGGCGGCGCTGGGGGCGGGGCGCGGTGATTGACGGACGGGGTGATTGATAGACGGAGCGAGCGGGCCATTCCAGAGGCTCCCGGCGCGGCCCCTCACGGGCTTCCCCCGGCCGGCCCGCGCCTCCCGACCTCCGCCGGAGCAGCAGGGGCGGGCACTCTTACCTCTGGGCTGTGCTTGCGGTCGGTAGCGAGGCAGGGGGCATTAATCCAGTGGAAAGCTGGGAAGGGCTTTCCAGGCGGGCGCCTCCGGCTGTGGCAGGCCTGGCTGGGCCTGGATCTGGCCCTCTCGTGCAAGAGTATGTCTGGTATCGTTGCCCACACCAATGTGTCACAGTTTATTGGGAAAAAAAAAAATCTATATTGTAAAGAAGCCTGTCATTTATCACCTCGGAGCAGAGGAATCTTAGTGCTTTGTGAGCCAAGCCCTGGATTTTTCCATGGAAATGAAACATAAATCATTGTAGGGAAGGGTGCAGGAGATGGGAGGCTGGCTTCAGCTGGGTTGCTGTTAATTGTTAGTGGTGAATTAGGTTTTAGTAAGTACTTAACAGGCAGGTATGTCTCAGGCGAAGAAAATATTTCAAACTCCATTATATTCTACAGAAAGATAAGCCTTTGTCAGTCAGCCAGATTTTTTTTCTTTTTGTCTATCCACTGTGCAGGCTGTAAGATTTCTTTCCCTTCACTTAGATATTTATTCAGTATAAATAAATGTTGCATTGCAGCTTTCAACAGGCACAGCTGGAGACTGTAGGAAGACACATGCCAAAGCGAGTCTCAATCCCCTGAGACGCCTGCAAGAGGCAGAACACTGCATGGCAAAGCAGCACTTGCCACAGGCACACCACTGGGTTCCTCTGGCAAGACTCTTCAGCAGCTTGCGGGGAAGAGTTTTATCCCAGTCAGACAGCTGTGCCTCGAAGGTGCGAACAGTGACTCTTTCTCTCTGCATCATTGTCGTACATGAGCATGTTCACACTGAGCCAGGCTTAGCCTCAGTCCATGAGGATGATCACTGTGTCGTTATGGGTGCCAATGTGTGTGTAATTTCACTGTGTGCACCTTTCCTGGATCTCTTTATTTAAAGCTGCCAACTCAGCCTAAGCGAGTTGTCCAGTTTGTAGTGCTGGGTCATGAGTTTATCATGTGCCTTATCTTTTCTTACAGGCTTTTTTGCAGCATTTTTATGGCTTTGCATTTTCTTTTATAGTATTTTGAGAACAAACCAAGGGATCCCATGATGAAGCTGATGTCACAGCATTTTGTTCTGAAATCAGAGCAGTGAGTTTAGGGACAGAAGGAATTAGGGGAAAAGGAATAATTCATTCAGCTTTATGAGGTGCACTCTGTCTTCATGACAGTGGAAAAATAAGTTCAGGAATAAAAACAAGCACCAGTACTGTTTCTTGGTCTCAACTAAAGGAAGAAACTATTTAAGCAAAATTATTTATAAAGATGAAATTTACTTGAAACACTACTGAAAAGACTAAAATTACCATGCTCAGGCAGAGGAGCAAACCTCAGGAGTATCAACCCAACTCTGCAACTGATTCATTTAGTTCCATTGGTTGCCTTCAGTTTTCCAGTTTGTAAAGTAGAGAGAGTAATGATTGTTTAGGACAGGAATTGTCCCCTGAATATGCTAAATCCCACTATTTGTGGCTTGTGCCTGCTAAGTCCTTAGCCCTCATGTAGATTGAGGTAAGAGTTCAGTTTGCCATGTTTGAGCAAGATACAAGCTAACCTGAAGTCAGCAGGATCCCCAAAGCCAAGACTATACAACGACTTCCTTTGCCTGGTCTAAGGGGGCTGTGTTCACATGCCAGTCCTTGAAATTGCTTTTTCACAGTGTCTCGTGCCCCTTTGTGACTCTTGGGAGCCAAGGAAGTTTAATATCTTTAAAAGTCTCAATACAGAAGGTTGCTTGTAATCCTAGTGCTTGGTGCCTGGCTGAAATACCCGGCATGAAAGCACTGCAAGGTAGATATGGATGGTCTCACCATGCTCAAAAATCCTGAAATATTTTGGAGTTGTGTGTGTTTAAATGCACTGGCCATATGGTTTCAGTTGTATTTGGTATGGATGATGGAGGAATGATGTGCAGCACTGAAGTTAATCCTGTTAAGCCAGACTTTTGCTAGGAGAAGCCTTTGCCATGTTCTATGCTGCTGTAATCGGGTTACAGCAATGTAGAACATGGCAAAGACCTCTCCTAGCAAAAGTCTCATGGGAAATCATCAGTAAAATCTTATGCCTTAAGTTGGTAGGCATCCAACAAGACTTCACAGCATGGTATTTCTGGACATGCTCCAAGAAGAGAACGATCCAAACAAGACCATTTGCTGATGAAAAAGATCTGAGTTAAGTAGCAAATGTCTGTGTGATGGGGTGTTATGTGTATGTGTTGCATAATAGATACCCAAATATTTATATTCCCTATTGAAGTTTACTCTTTTATTAATTCTTTCCCCTTTTCATATGGATAAGGGTAGCTAGTGAAACAACACTGTTTACACAATATATTTTCACAGAGACATGGAAATTAATGAAGGTAAACATGAAGGAGAAGCAAAGCAACAAGGGCATGTTAAAACATGAATGTAGTTAGAGCAGAGAACAATCAGTTCTGTTTTCTTCTTATGTTTAGTATCAGGTTTTGCGTAAGGCTAAGACATCTATCCAGAAGCTGGAGCAAACCTTGTGTTCTTTGCTGAAGATGAAAGGTAACTGTATGCAAGTTTTGCTTGGACAAAGAGCCTGGACTTGGTTTTTATGTATTTGTTAAATAGAGACAGAAGTACACAGGAATTGTGCATTTAACCACAGCCAGCTTTGGGTTTAGTTGTAGCAATAAGTAAGGGACAGTGAGAGGTCTGTCAATGCACTGAGCACTGTATCTGTCTCAGAAATCCCCCCTGACTCAGCCTTTCCCAGCCTTCCCAGGTGAAGAGAGGAAACAATTCCTGCAATCCCCTGGCAGCAGGCCATCCAGCCTGAGTACCCTTGGCAGCTTCAGCCCAGCAGGTGTGGGGCTGGCATGGGTGCCCAGGCTGGATCCTTAGGCTCCACCCAGAGCCTGCTGCAGGAGCTGTGTGCTCCTCCTGGCCACAGCAGTGTGGCACAGTGCCAGTCACAGCTGTCACCAGCACCCAGCCCTGCCAGAGCTCAGACTGCACAACAGCACGCTGTGGTGTGGGGTAAAAGGATTTCCTAGGGTAGGAAATGGGAGCCTCTGAGTGTACTCTGATATAAATGGTTGAGAGAGATGCTACATTTTTTTTCTTTGAGCGTGGCAGGCCATCCCCATGCCCTGCTCTCCCACAGCCTGTGACACCTCGGTGACACTGGCCAGCAGGTACTGTCTGCACTTGTGGCAGCTCCTGCTGGGGGCCTCACACCCCCAAGAATGTGCCTTCTGTTTAGTGCTGTGGCCACTGCCTCTGCTAGCAGCAAGCAGGACCAGGGGCTCATAGCACAGAGGTTTTGGACAGGTTTTTTTGTCCCTTCAAGTGTCCAAATTCCTGTCAGCTAGAAAAAAGCCTGCTATTCACATGACTTGCACCTTCAGTAATTTGAATCCATTAGAAATCTCAGTGCTTAAAATGAACAACCTCATCTGAACCCACATCCTTGGATAACCCATAAAAGTGAGTCACAGGTAGAAAGAATAATTTGACAGAGCAAAATTGAAAGGATAACAAGCAGGGAGCTGGTTGAGGGGAGTTTGAGGCAAGCTTCCCCTTGTATGTACTCACATATATGTAAAATCCATACTGCTTGTGAATCACAGGCTGGATGTCAGGGTTTTTCACATGCAATTTGTTCATTATAAGGTAACCAAATTGTATATTGACTAATGTGTGCCCAGAGTTTGATTTGCAGGTTGTTTTCACCACCAGTTCTGTAAAATCAATGTTAGGAAGAAGGCATTGATTCTAAGTTCCTCAGTGTTCATAAACTCCCAGTAGTGCTAGTTATGTTCTAGGAGAGACAGATGCTTCTTCTTTCACATCATTTTTGCCTAATGAAAAGCTCTGGCTTGTGAAGAACCAGTTGTTGACAGTGTTCTGCTGGGTTGGGGCTGAGGGTGAGAGAGAAGCCAAAAGTGCCATTGATGTGACAGTGACCTTTCTGCTGACAACAGCCAGCTGCAGTCTGGAGGATGGGAGCCCATCCAGCTTGGAGGAAGTCAGGGAGGAATATGTCAGGAGGCAATTCGGCAGTCAGAGGTAAGGGCTTGTACCAGCCAAGAAAAGATGATAATATTTTGCACTTGCTTCCATCCCAGCATCTCTGAAACTCCTTGTCATTGCTACTGTATTTCCAAGCAGAGGTTTTTCCTCATGACGAAAGGACAAGGAGGTTTCCCCTGGACTGCTGTAATCCCATGGAGTGCACACACATTCTAAGCATGTTGTTGTTCTCATTGCCAGTCAGTGCTTGTATTTTTTCCCCTCCTATGTAGCTGATCTCTGGCAAGGATGTCTCATTGCCTTACAAGCAAAAGGAGGAGGAAAAGGCTGGCTTGGTAGGAAGGCCCCTAGGCACTGGAGTCACCATGATGAGGGCATTATTAATCCAGTTGAGAAGTTATTAATGTCGTTTTTTCCCCCTTGTGTTCTTTCCAGCACTACATCAGCCTCAGAAGATATGAGTGAAAGTGACTCTGCCATCTGGTATTTGCTTCAAGAATGTGAAAAACAAACACTGGAAGAATATGAGAAGCCAGAATTGATCCAGTTTTCAGACACTTTATCTCCAGATCTAGTGGAATTTGAACGGTAGGTGCACCCCACATTGCCTTCAAGTTTTTCATTTGTTTGCAATTATCACTGTGCATCCAGGCACTGCCTTTCATGCAGCCCTGCTGGAGCCTGTGTCTGCCTCACAGAAGCCTTGTGCCAGCAACTGTGGCCCTGCTGGTGATGAAGCTGAGCACTTCCTAAGTCCCTGCAGCTTGCCCATGGATGGACTCAGAGCTGTAGCAGCTGCCAGCTTTTCAGGCCTTGGTAAATCCCTGAGGATTTTTCACCCTGTAAGAAAAAGAAGAAAATTTCTTTCAAGTGTGTCAGTCTCTGTGTTGCCACACTTCACCACTGTATCCCTGCCATGGGGCTAGATTTAGGAGGGTAAGAATTGCTGCACCAGATGAATTTGCCAAGAGTCTAGCCTGTATGTTTTCTAGGGAGGTGCAGGAACCAGCGGTAAGCACATTCTTTTCCTCACAGGGATGCTCATCCTTCCTCTAATGGCATTGTTAGGAGGAGCTTGAACACTGTTGCCCCTTCCAGAGGCAGACCCTTAGCTCCTGGAAGCTTGGAGTCCTTTTCTAGTGGGATCAGAGTAGGGTAAAGCTGGATTCAACCAAGTAAGATCTTACAGTCCTCAGCCTCTGGGCTGCAGAATAAGGGTTGTCTGGAAGATGCCAGAATGCATTCTGCAACAATGCAAAATTGTCTGCAACACTGGGGAAGGAGGGGAACCTAAACACTCGTGTGCTACACTTAGAGCTAGTGGATGTGAGTCTGTAAACCTTTTAAGCTCCTAAGTTCTCATGTCAGTTGTCCATGTATTTATTTTGGAAGTCATAATGGTAAAATTACTGTTTTTTTCCAAAGTTAGTGATGTCTTAAAACTGAGTATTGTACTCCATGTTCTTCCCTTTCCTGTCAGACAACATTTAGAGGTTTTATCCTGCATTTCCAGCAGGATAAATGATTATTTGATTGCCATGATATGAGAAATAGATGCATGTGCAATCTATCCTATACCATCAAGCAGTGAATTTCACCCTAACCATTCCACAGCTAACAGCATGCAGTGCAGGAGAATCCAGAGCTGCAGCTGGCATCTCTTCCATGGCATCACCACCACAACCAAAAACTTCTGCAGTTCCTTCTCTTTTGCTTTGAACTGCTGTGTATTTCTAAAAATCCCTCTGATCACCGGGTTTTTCCTCAAAAGGAGACTGCAGCTGGACCAGCAGATGGCACCAGCTTCCTGCTCCTTCTCTCCTTTTGCTCCTGTTAGAATTGGAGGTGGCTGTAGTTAAAGTATCGTTTAGAAGACCTTGAAAGGTGCTGAATCAAGATTTTCAGGATTAGAAAAATCTGCTTCATCAAAGACTGCAGGACAGAGCCACTGACACCTGCCTTTCATGTTCTTTACTCACCCGGTAGACCAGGGCCTGTACTGTGTAGACTCTGGCACTTATCCTGTAGTCCTAGGGCAGGTTGCATTTGGTTTGTTGCTAATTCTTGTCAAAAAATGACTTTTATAACAGGCATAGAACGACAAGGACTCTTCAGCAAAGAAAGCAATAGCCTTTTGGTGACCATTTAATCAGATTATTTGGGAAGCATCAGAAATGCTTTGAGCTTTGGCTGACTTTTTTTTTTCCCACGTTCAGCAGCAGGAGATACCCTGGTAGGACTTCACAATACTCTGTCCAGTGCAAAATGTGGTTGGCTCCTTCCAGCTGGGAAGGAAATAGCTGACTCATGCTTCAAGCTTAATTTCTTTAGCAGAGCATTCTAATGGTGGTTCATGTTCTTCTGCTTGAGAAATTCCAGGTCCTTTGTTTGGAGCTGGACATCCAGAAACCTTAGTGAGTGCAATACTTAACATGAGAGCACTTATTCCCCTTCCAGTATTTTGTCTCCAGCAGTGGTGGAAAATACTCCAGAGTGTGGAAACTTGGGTTTAAACAGGTTTATGTTTACCTACAAAATTATATTTTCAATATTGGTTTGCTGGAACAAATATTTACAAATAAAAAAGAATTATTTCTTTTGAGTTACTTTCTCATACAATACAGTTTAGTTAATCAGGAAATGTGCTCATGTGGGACATCTTCCAAGGAATCATTTTGAGCCCAAACATAGTGCAAATGACTGCTGTTTGTTTATCTGCTCTTGGTTTATACTCCTTTGATCTTTTTATTTTTGTCTGAGACTCTCTAAGCATTTAATTAATGTAAAATAACCTTCAGTGCTGCTTTCTGAAGTAGACATTATTATCCTGTGCCACACAGTGCTAACAGAAGAAGCAGGCTTGTTCTGAGATTTAGTCACTGGGTTGAAATTATCACCCCTGTGTTCCACCACCAGTTTCACTACAGACAGCATAGAAGTCAGTGTTAGATGTTAAATGGAGGAAATGGAGCTCCCATGGATAAGTCAGAGCATCCAGACCTGGGGCAGTGTCTGTCTGTCTGTATGTACAGTACCTAATGGATCAGGATACAACCTCAGCCAGGGCTTTAAAGTGCAGTGCAATGCCAGTAAATGCATAAAAAGTCACTTGCAGTGCAAAAGGTTCAAAGGATACAAAGGCAAGTAAGTGAAAATGTATTAAATTCCAGAATGAGGTTTGCCTGTACAACCTGCAGTGCCTGGAGCTTCTGTTGTGAGGCAATCCTGCTGAGGCTGAAGCTGGAGCCTGCTTTTTGCAGGTGAAACTGTCAGTGTTGGGCAGCGTTCAGTAATTGTGTGAAGTCTGGGAGGCAGAGTCAGTGAAGTAGTTATGGATCACAGCTACTCCCTGGTGTCCTGCTGATTTTCAGTAGATGGCTGCCTTATAGCCTGCTCTTAAGAGATGCTCCCTTTCCTTTCCTTTCCTTCCAGATACCTGTATTTTTATAAGCACACAGTGGACCTGCTGGTAGAGCATGGAATTGTTTGCACCGGAGAGGTGCCTCTTCCTGAGGTCTCCACAGCTATTTCCCATCTCTGGCAAGAGCTTTCTGAAGAGAGCAGGGACAGCATCTTGCAGTACTGTAGCCAGAGAGATTTCCTCATGGATCCCAAGGCTGCTTGCCCAGAGCCTGCTTGCACTGAAGGTAGTGTGAGGGACAGCGGAGGTAACAGTGAGGAAGCCAGTGGTTCCTCAGTCTCCACACCAGAGGAAGTAAGTGCTCAGCAACATTCATAGTCTGCCTCTGAAACTCCAAGCTTTCAGATGCTGATTGACTCTGCAGCTTTTAGTTGCAAGCATACAGTAATTGTAACTACATTTTCTCAAGATCATTGAATGCGTACATGGAGACAATAAGCAGTCTTTGAGTAAATGTCTGCACCAGATTTTCTCTTGGTGAGATACCTAGTGAGCTACAGAAGGGCAGTGGTAGTAATCCTGCTAGTCTCCACTGACTTGTGGAGTTTCTGTGCTAAGTAACAGTTCAGTTTGCCCTACCTTGGTCCAGGGACAGGGAGCAAGAACAAGAGCTACACAGTTACTGTGCTCTGCACACTCTCCAAAGAGCACAGATGATCTAAATCCAGAAGGGATACCTAGTTTGCCAAAGCCTCCTGTATTTTGGGTTGGGTGGGATTTTTTCATCAAAGCACTTGGTAGCAAAGAGAAAGTATTTTTAGACCAGTGCCAGTGGTACAGGGCCAATGACTGCCTGTACCATGCACCTCTGCAGAGCCAAGAAGTCAGTGACTGAGTAGACCAGAGCATTTATTAATAAGAGACTGAGTAAATAACAGCCAGTTCTATCAATGGTTCCTGGAGCAGTGATTGCTGGAGTAAGTAGCTGCTCAAAGAGGTATGTGTAATTTCATTAGCTGGAAGGAAGGGACAGATGTTTAGCATGTAAGTAAATGGCATTGGAATGTTCTTTTTGAGTCACAGGACACAACTGATATTGCTCATTGCCTCAGGAAATGTCATGGAATGTTCCCTGTATGGGATTTCTGGCACAGAGAGTGTGTGAGCTGCATTATGGCAGAGTGAACTAATGACTTTAGTGGTCTGGCATAAGGAGCATCCAAACTCCTTTGTCTGACTGGAGTCAGTTTTGGAGAGACTGAGATCTCCAGCCATAAGCAGCAGTCCACAGTTGAGTCTCTAAGGCACTGATACAATTCATGGTTTTCACTGATTTTTTTTTTTTGGAGATGTAATGTGAAGTCTAATTCCTAGAGGTTGAAGCACAGGCTTAAGGGAGTGGACTGACCTTGTGCTCCTAGCCATGAAATACAGTTATTCCACATTATTCCTGCCTCCACAAAATCTCTTGGTTTACTCTAGCTGTAACCATACCTGTTAAATGTAAAGAAAGAATATCATGCTTTTAAAGATTTCATTATTAAAAATTATGCCCTAGGTAAACCTTTTTAGGTGGCTGGATATGCTGACATCTGAAGTAATTTCTCTGCTAGGTGATGTTTGAAGATGCATTTGATGTTGCTGCTGGTTTCCTTGACAGAAGCAAGGCTCAGGGATTGTCCAGCCAGAGGTAAATTACAAACACCCCTTTTGGCAGACACAATACATTCATAGCCCACTGTCAGCAGTCCATGGCAAGTGCTCTGTGGAGTAGGACAACAGCTTTTTTAATAAATGGTCAGAATAGCAGCCTCCAGCAGCTGTGCTCACAATAATACTTCCTTCTAAGGGGAAAAAGTGAAACAACTAATGGTCATTTACAGCAGAATCGGTAACAATCACTTACTGAGAGCCCCATCACTTCAGGATAACTGGGGTCCTTCTGATTTTCCTTGCCACTCTGCACAGCTCTCTGTCTTTTCAGTTTACAATACTTGTAATGTTTTCTTTTTCTCTCTCACTTACCAGGCCTGTGAGGACCAAGAGGCATTCCCTAATAAATCAGTTAATCATAAGCCATACTCTCATTTAATGAAACAAAAATGATAATTTTTCAACATTTTCTCCCTTCTCTTACCCTAATTCAGTCACATGGAGGTGATAAGGTTAAAGTGTGGTTGACCAGAACAGTAACACCAAAGAAACACAGAACCTTTTAAATAATAACATCTCCTTCCTCTTCAGTTCAGATGAGTGACCTAGAAGAGAACATGTCAGATACAAAGCTGGCACTGCCTTTGATTTTTCCCAGTAGACCAAAGAAAGAAAAGCATTGTTTTCCTCAAGAGGAAAATCACATGATGATTCATCTTTTATGTATTCTTGCTACTTAGTCTTTTTTAAGATTGTTTCTCTTTGCAAATAATGTTTTTAATCTGTGGGGGTTTAATCCCATTTTCTACTTATTTTTCAACATTTAGAGTGATATTAAATGTGAATCTCTTCCTTTCACCACCATTCCAGATTGCACTTCCAGAAGGGAATAAATTAAAATAAGGTTGTTTTGGCTGATTATCAAAATATACTTGAAGGGATAAAAAACCTTAATAAATATTTATTTATTAAATAACATTTATTAGGTCACAATTTCCATTTGCTTTTAAAATAAGATTAAGTATTCCTTAATACTGCAAAGTATTGCTATAATCTTTTAAATCTGTTTTAGGTCCCAAATCAGTTTGGTTTTTCAATAGTCAACATTTGTTTTCTCTTTCTTGCCTGTTGTTCTGCACCTTGTAATTCTGGACAGAGCTGTGATGGCAGAACTTTGTAAAATCCCAGGAAGAATACAGAGGTGAGGTCTAGAATGAAAAGCTTAGCTTTGTGCCACAGTTACCTGAGAACACACCTGCCAGTTATAGCTAACATGTCATTTCATCATCACACCTTATTGCATTCACTCAAAAACTTTACAGAAGTCAGAGCTGTTCCTCTGAACAACCCTACCAAATACACTCCCAAATAACCATTGTTGCTGGCTGTTTTACATGGATATTTGCTTTTGCCCAAAACAGTGTTACCATGCTGTAATGTGTCAGCAGATCTCCTTCTTGTGACACCCATTTCTTGTATTTCTGTTCTCTGTTCTTACATATCTGCCTTGCACTGGGCAAACACTATCTCATCAATGCATCCATCACAACTCCTCCCTGTCTTGCTATTGTCTTTAATATCAGAACCATCTTGAAAACAGTTTGAATTTTTTTTTATTTATAAGTAAAAGATGGAGGAGAGAAAGTAAGGATAACAGAACAGAAAATTAAATACAGTATCCAATTCCATTTTCAGTTCAGCATTTGCAAGCTGCACTTCTGAAAATCCAGAGGATCACCAGAGACTCTATGTGCAGGTCACTGACTTCCTAAAACACCTCTTCTTCACTAATACACAGTTTTGCCAGGTAAGCCTTGCCAAAGGATTCCTTCCAGAAGGAGCAGTGAATTTCAGAGCAATGTATTTCAGGAGCTATGTCAGAAAGGAATTTTTGTATTCAGTGTTTCTGGTCATATTGTCCAGAATGATTCCAAAAAGAACTTGGGGTTCACCATTTTAGATGTGTCATTCCAAAAGGCCAGTAGGATTGCCTTTGTAAGAGGTTAAGTGTGAGTGAGCACTGCTTTGAATATTATTCAAAATGGCAAATGACATGAGGAATTGTAAATTATTATTATTATTATTATTGTTTGCATGAAAGTTCCTTGTGAAAAGCTTGAGTGATCTCCTCTGAGCAGGCAAAGCTCACTTTCCAGCTCTCCAGCAACCCCCAGCTGCTTCATTCTGAGCTCAGTAGAGCCACCTCCTGCTTGTCTGGGAGCCAGGCTCCCTGCCCTGAGCCCTCCACTGGCAGGCCCTAGAAGCAGGATATTCGTGTTCATGAAAGAGCTGATGAAAAGCTCCCGAGATTCCCCTTAACTTCAGCCTACTGTTGCAGGTTTGCTGAGCCAGAAGTCTTTGTGTTTGCATTGTTCTTCCTCCCCTTCTTGTCTCCCTGCCATGGAGGTGGCTCAGAGCTTGCACTTGGGTAAAGAACTGAAAGGGCAGAGCTTGTTCTGGTTCAGAGTCAGTGGTAGCTCCACAGCAGCCATTGGTTTGTTGGTTTCTATTGCCCAGTTCCCACCTGGTCTTTGGTACCTGAACAGATGCTCCTTTGAAGGAAAATAGAAGGTTTGTGATGAGGGGTAGTTGAGACAGAAAACAAAGCAGCAACTGATGTTGCACCACTGTCTGAACCTGTCACAGAGAGACTGCTGTGTGCCCTTTGGTTCCCCATCCTGGAGAGAGTAGCACTAGAGAAGGTGCAGAGAATGGCAGCAAGCTCAGGAAAAGGCATTGAATACTGTCAAGAGTAGGACTTTTCTACAAAAAAAAAAGACTGAGGGGTACTGCAAGATTATTTTGTTCGTACATGGTGTGGATGCAGTACACAGAATGATTACTCATTGTGTCTAATACTAGAAGAACTAGAAAGCACTAAATAAAATGAACAAACAACATATTAAAACTATTTGCACATACAGATTACCACATTTAGACTCCAGGGTCATCAATCCATGGGCAATTACTAAATCTGAAGGTCCAGGTTCAATACCCAGTGCAGGAGGGCCTCACAGCACAGTTTGCTATAGTGTACAAGTGTTTTATTGTAAAACCAAGCACACTGTGTGCCCAATTCTTGCACTTTTTTCAAAACTTCCCCTGCTGGCTGTTGTCAGAGACCAGACACTGATCTCCACAGCCCTTTGGTCTGTGACTAGCTATGTTCTGTGTAAGAGCAGAGCTCTTCTTGTGTTTAAGTAAATGAATATGAACTCAGCAGGCCTAGAAAAGAAAGAAAAGCTTTAGGCAAGATATGGCATTTTCTGGTTTTAAATTTCTTTTGTGAGTGTCATGCCTGGCATAGTCTCATCTTGTCCTTCTGCTTGGGGCTGCCTGGTTATGTGTGAGCCCCAGTCCATGTCACAGCTCCCAGATGAGGTGGTATGGGAACAGGTAGTGTCTCTTTCAAGGTTTAAAGAGGAAAATTCAAAATAAGACTGGGAGCGATGGGAAGGCAAGCACCAAAAGAGCCCAAAGTACTGGAAATTGGCAGTTGACTGTACTATGTAGATCTAAAAGGAAATAAAAAGCTGCAAAGGGTTCTTTTACACAGGAACTTTTAGTTATCTGTGATAAGACAATAAAAAGGGAATTTGAGCAGAAATCACCCAGATAATATGAAGGTCACAATCGGTTTTGATTAAGAGTGCAGAACAACACATCTAGACAGTGCTGCCAAGAGGCAAAAGAGTAGAAAAAGGAAAATGTGACTGACAAGCTATTTTTTGTTTTGAGAGCAGAAATTCGGATCCATCTCAAAGCAAACAGATTGAGACAGTTATGAAAGTGGTTGCAGAGCAGGGATAGAAGATGTTCCAGCTAGCTTGAAACACACCAACTCAGGCAGCAGCAGAGAGATCAGTATAGGCTACTCACCTTCCCCCAGAAATTGGGCTGCTCAGAGCATCAGAGACTGCTGGACTTGACAGGGAAAGGAACCCGTCCTGCTTCCCTTACCCGACTGAACCTCTGCAGACCATTCCCCTTCCCTGTGCTGGTGCCATGCTAGCACAGGAGTTTGGGCAGTGCTGGCACAAATTATCTCAAGGATAAAGCAGTGTCCCAGTACACTGTGCACACACCTTGTAGGAGATACAGAGGTGGGTAGCAAGTACAGTAAGTACCAAGGTAAGGCATGTGATGGGACCCCACTGAAATACAAAAGGCAGCCCATGGTCTCCTTTCCTTTCACCTGCAGAGCCGATGAGGTGATGGATTTTATTGCTGGTCATTCATGGCACTGCCATGTTCTGTCATTTCTGGTTAACTGTGCAGGTACAAACTGCAGCTCCTGCTGTTGGACTGTGGATGGTCACAGCTACTGAGCACAGCTCCTCCTGAGCCGCTGCCCTGGCTCTCAAGGCTGCCAGGGGCTTGCACCCCACTGGAATAAAAAGCTTCAGAAAGACTCACACAAGAGGAGAGGGGAAATAATTTGGACAAGGAAAGGGAGAACTCTTAAAAGGGCAGGGACCCCAAAATGAGAACAGGAACATGCTTCTACAGTATATGATAGAGAAATATTTCTGAGCATGAGATTAGTTAAGCAATCTTGTAATTTTTCAAGAGCTGTTGTTTTAAGGTCACATCATAAGAGAAGCTTAGCAGCAAAGGCAGTAAAGAGTTAATTTAGACTGAGATCCAAAGGTTTTACCTAAATGAAACACAGTGGGGTTTTTTTTCTAAATAGTACTGAGCACCTTTGTGTCTTCAAAGGCACACTTTCTTTTAAAATTATGGATTTTAGATGAGTCCCTTGACAAGCAAGTGGTATTTTGTGCTTCTTAAGCTATACACTTTCAAACAACACCTATTTTTAAAAGCAGTATTTCACTGAAGAGTCTTGCATCAATGCAGAAGGTGGACTAGATGGACTGCAGGCATGAATACTTTTATCTTCCAGACTTTGATTTCTCAAGAGCCACTTGTTCTCTGTAAACTGGTGAAAGAGAAGACCCTTTCCTTCTGTTGCTAAAAGTGGAGCAAAGCCTGAAGTGGGTAGAAGTTAAGGCCTCAAAGAAGCTGTCATACCTTCAGAGCCTGTTATGTGACAAACTTGCTACCACAGTCAGTAACAGCTGTCTAGATGATGTAAATAGACACAGAGTGGAGCTCAGGGATTTTAGAAAGAAATTGGCAGAAAATTTGAGCCTTTTTTCATCAGGCACCTCAGGAACTCATCAAGTGCTGGTGGCTGATTCAGAGAGGAGGGAGGGCTCATGCTGCATTTTCTGGTACATCAGCTCTTGACCAACTCACTGTAGATTTGAAATTCAATGAACTCCTCTGGTTTTTAATCCTGCTTGACTTTGGGGGGGCTTTCAGGAAGAAGACCTTCACTATGATCATGAGACCGTGATGCTGCGGTGCACGGAGACCTTCGATGATGAAGATTTCTAAGCAGTGTCTCCAGCAATGTTTTGCCAAGCCCTGCCAGGTACACCAGGCATGGGAGGAGCCTCACCTCTCTCAGTGAGCTGCCTCTCTCAGCAGAGTGTGGAGACACTGTGTTGGTTTGTTATCATTGACTTCTCCTTCCCTCATTAGTAATTCTTGATATATCAGTTGAGTAATTTATAATTTTTAAAGGTTTTAAGGGTCTTAGCTATTTATTAATATATGTTTTTACCCATTGCTATTTAATGTTCAGCCTTGCTTCACAAAGAAATGGAGGCATGTACAGTTATGTGACCTTGCCTAGCATAAGGTGTGGGAAGAGCAGCAGGGAGGCCAGATCAGTGGCAGTCTGCACACTCCCACAGGATGCAGGTCTCAAACTGCACCCTGCAAAAGTCACCTCCTGGCAGTAATTATTTTTCTGGTGCAATTTTTCATCTTGGGCTCATAAGGAAAGAGGGATTTCCTCACAGAGAGTGGAATGAGGCTCTTCTGTCTCTTTATGAGGACAGCAGCAGTGAGCACCCACTCCCCAGTCACCCAAAAAAGTGCGGGCACAGTAATACACTTTGGATTATTTACTTTTGTGAAGTGTGTAAAGCTGAGTGATCAGCCCTGTGCTCTTCTTCCACATCTAATTCTTGGATGAGTAGTGCTGCTCAGATAGTGTCTTGGAATTAAAAGGGCTGTGAAATTGAATAAAGTCCTTCACATCTCTGAGTTATCATTAAAGGCTCTCTGCAGACTTGAACAACTGTATTCTGATAGTGGTTATGTTGAGGTCATGCCACCAGCCATCACAAACAGAAAGGATGGAAGTTTTATTTTAAAACCTAAACTAAAGCTGCTGTGCCTAGCTGTGCAACTTCAGCAGCCAACTTTTAGACTGAGTCCAAGAGGCCTGGACTGTGGCCCAGCATTGCCTTGGTGCATAAAAGCATGATACATTCAGGCAAAACCACGGAGCTGAGTACTGAAGTACAAAGGAGGAATAAACACCAGAGTGCTTTCTGTCCCTGCAGTTGAGGGTGTGGTAGCACCTCCAGATGAATGTTTGTCACACTGCTGTGTCTGAAAGTGGGGTTACAGGGGTCCTGTTTGGGTTTAAGGGATCTTCAGAGTTCTCCAGGGTGCAGCCTTGCTGTTCCCTGGCCTTCCCAGTGTGCTTCATTTAGACATGCTGGCATTGCTTTGAGACTAGAAGCATTGTGATGACATTAAGGGGAAGATGAAGAACACATTACTTTGATCCCTTCTCTTGCATGATCACAGTTCACAGGAGTGCAGTGATTCTTTGAATACCTGCAAATGATTCTTTAAATACCACCTGCCACTTGCTCCAGCAACCACCCTGAGAAATACCATTACAATGTACGTGTTATTATTTATTATACTTGCAAAAAACAAGTATTAATCTCAATGAAGGAAACACAAACTTATGCTACAGCAATAATTTTATTACACAGCACCAGGAACCACAGGACCACATGTGATCACATTGCATGTGGCCCTACAGGTTGAGGCTAATAGGGAATAGGAGCAATAACCTGCACACCTGTTTTCCAGAGAAGTGCTTTTCACCACACTAGACCAAACAGGTACAGCAAGGGTACACAGGACACAGCAGCAGCATAGGGATGTGTAAGATTGTGAGCAGAAGTGCTTTCTCCATTATATTTGATGAGGATTCCTTCATCTTTGTAAGGCTGGCTGCCCAGCCTGTTTCTCCTGAGACTCCTCCCAGCACTCCAAAGGTGGGATACATTTCAGTAAGGCTGGTTTATTCTGTTAGGTTAAGAACCTAACTAAGGTCTCTAGACTCCCTCTGTGGTCTGAGGCAGAAGAGACAGGTTCAGAAGACAATCCATCCCATTAACTTTAGATGCCTCTCTTACAACAACATTCATTTGACTGGCTAAATGATGGGAATTTGGAATGAGATGAATCATGACCTAGAGGCACCCGCTCCTTCCCCTTGGCCAGGATGAGGTATACAGCACAAGGTGAGAGGTGGGTGGTGCTTTAAGGTGCTGGGGATTAACCCAACCCAAGGGATGCCTGAGAGAGGTGCAGGGCCCATGTCAGGGAAGCTCCTTCAGCTGCCACATCAGGGGACAAGAAGCCCTCCTGCTTGAGCTGAGCAGCTGCCCCTTAGGGTGCCCAAGGGTCAGTGCAAGAAGGAAACAGAAAACCTTTCCTAGGCATTTCTTGGGCTTTGGTGTTCCCTGAGGAGGGATCAGGTTCTTCCTACAAGTGAGCAGGCAGGGAGGGAGAAGGAAAAAATGACTTCCTCAAGGCTATCAATGGTGCAGTCAGCAGAGCTGGGAAGAAGAAGACATTATCCTTTTCCTGCTCCCCCCTCTAACAGCTGCCAGCTCATGCTCAGGCGATGGGGGCTGCAGACACACTTTCAGACCTCTGTTTCTAGGACGAGTTCACTTGCAGGCGAGGTGCTTATATCCTTGTATCAGCCCCAATTGGTGCTGATTGGTGTATCAGCACCAACCTCAGAGTTTCTTTCTAAGCTTGTTTCAACACTGGTTTTCTGCCTAGCAGCCTTCAGTTCATCCATTCTCTTGTCACAAGACAGTTTTCTGGGGCAAGCAGGGAGATAGCGAAACCAGGAGACATTGCAGTATCTGGTGCCTATGCCAAAGGGAAGATCATAGACCTTGGAAATGAGCTGAGAGCTCTCCATCCCTCCCTTGTGGCTTTGCTTCCATGCCAGGAGCCCCCGCTCCTCCTGTGTTCCTGCAAGAGCAAAGTGAGGTTGTTTTGTTTAAAACTGCAGGGCTGCTTTGTGTGCCTCACACCCACTGCTCAAATCCCAGCAGACCCAGCACAAAATACAAATCCCTTCTACTTAAACCCTTCCAGCTCCAAAGAGCTCTATAAATATTCACTAATGAGCTTCCAGACAATACCCCTTTTCCTGCAACAGCTTCCAGATAAGCAGCCTTCTCCATGCTTTCCATGGGAATCATGTATACCAAGAAGTTTTCACCTGCCACAGAAGATCCAAGAACTGTTCAAAGGGGAGGTTCATGCAGTGCTGGGAAAGCAAGGCTGGATGTTAACTGCCCAGACAGACACTTCAGAGCAGCAGTTACTATTCAGTCACAGGTATTTACCCTAGCCAAAGGAATTCCTAAGTGCCTGTAACTGCTGTGGCAGCAAAGAACCTCTTGGGAAAGGGAGTACCTACCTGTAAATTCTGCCCAGAGGAGCTGATGATTGAAGGCTGCAGGAAAATTAATGAGCCAAAGGAGACTGGCTTTCTGAGAAGCCTCAGACAGTAACAGAATCTTACAGAAAAGAGCATCCTTTCTTCCTGCTCTTCTCCTGCAGCAGAAAAGAGGGTTTCCTCTCCTATTCTTATGCCCTCCCTCCCCATGCTAGATGAAAATCCAAGGTTCTTTGCTGCCTGTGAGGGCCAGCACCAGCCTTTCCTACTGCTTTCCACTTCTGTGGCTTTAGTTCAGCTTCAGTTTTAGCAGCTCCCATGCTGGCACACGTTGGCTCCTTCCACTTCTTACAGCTGCTTTCCTCTCTCCTTTTAACTAGCAATATGGTTTTAGGCAGGCATGTTCCCTGAAAGATGTTTGCCAAATAAACCTTTTCTTCAGCCTGGGTTCTTCCTGACAAATTCTTTTATTTTTGATAAGCTGCTGTTTTCCAGCCAGAGACCATTTCAGTGATGTCTCCTGTTCCTCACCCTTCTCTGGGAGGAGTGCAGTCACACGGTGTTTCATGGTTGCCAACACAACTCCTTTCCACAGGAGTCATGAAAATAAAAAGTACCAGGGAACAAACCCTTGGACAGGCACAAACTACCAGCTCATTTCAGCAAATCTTACCTGGAATGGTGTTATCCAGGATAAATGCCAGAAATCCACCCACAAACATGCCAGTGGTGAGAAGCACCAGGATCACTTGGTCAAGCTGGATGATTCCTAGCAAAAAAATAAAAACCTTTGGATCGTGGTGTAGGAAGAGCATTTTACCTGTTTTACCAGCAACATTTCTGGTGCCAAGAGGCTGCAAGCTGCATGCTTGCTTGGACTAGGCTTGCTTGGATGAGACTTGCAAATCCAAAGCAGAGTGTAAGATTTGGAGTGGAAGGGAGACTGATCTCACAGCCAGTTTCAGACCTACAGTTTTATTCTACATGATTATTCACAGACTCACAGTGGGCAGGAAATGGCTCATTATAAATACACTGAGAGCTTATGAACAGTGCAGACCCCAGCACTGTCTGAGAAAAAGTCACCTTCTGCTCCAAACACATTCAGCACCTGCACAACACCTAACAGCTCCCTACAGAGCACGAGCTTCAGTTCCCAAAGAAATGTGAGTATATTTAGCATGGGATTTCAGCACAAGCTCATCAGGTGTGATGTCTCCCCTTGAGGGGTGATGGCCATGAGCAAAGCCCAGTGGCACTGAGCATCTGACAGGACATCTACAGAGCATGGGGTTTGTGGGCCCACCCAGCACACCATGTATGCTTTAGGAGAGGACACTCTGGCCTCTGTGATGAAGACATCAGTCACACAAGACACAGTGAAGGGCCAGCTGCTGGAGAACTGAAAATTTCAATAAAGTGAACTTGATGGAATTTAGTAGAGGGGTATGCTCTTGCATTTTGAAAGCACAGCATTGCATTGTGTATGAGCACATAAGAAAGCCTCAGTCATTGACAACTCAGTCACTGACCAAAAGCAGAGATTTCTGCACCAGATCTATGCATCCAGGGCAAAAGGCAAAAATAGCCCTCAGAAAGAAACAGGCAACAGTCAAAGCACAGATTTCAGCATTTTATAAGGAAAAAACTATTTTAAAAGATTTCTCTGGTCAGCCTTTCCTTCCATTTCATGCTGCAGAAAATTCTTCTGATGTAATTTCTTACCTGTTTTCAGCAGAGCACTATTTTTGCTTGCCCAGTTGGGAATTGTGAGGCCAGCAAATAGAGAAAATCCAAAGATAAAGATGTTTCTTGAGGAGTTCATATCTGTATACTGCACAGAGAAATTTCATACATTGAAATGTACAAATGCACAAAACTCTGGATTACTGTTGTGTTCATGAGACATGGTGGGATGCAAACACTGGAATCAGGAATGGACCCAGCCCTGGTGCTGCTGGGGGATTTGTGTTCCTGCAGTCCCCAGTGCCAGCCAGCCCTGCCCATGCCAGTGAGCCCTCTGGGATTCAGCCCCTCTGGGTACAGCCCCTTATCTTTACCTGAGGAATTACAAACATAAATGTTTGCATTTGCTGCAGTGTGGTTATAGCTGACACACTCTGTAAGAATCTGACTTCAAACTGAGGGTGCTGTGTGCAGTTTTGGGCACCACAATATAAGATATAAAGTGATTAGTGAGTGTCCAAAGGAGGGCCACGAGGATGGTGAAGGGTCTGGAGGGGAAGCTGTATGAGGAGCAGCTGAGGTCACTTGGCCTGTTCAGTCTGGAGAAGAGGAGACTGAGGAGAGGCCTCACTGCAGTCTGCAACATGAGGGGAAGCAGAGGGGCAAGTACTCATCTCTTAAA